GATAGCTCTATCAGTTCTAAACTGTTCTTCCTATAGAGGTCCAGTAAGGATCATCTCTTATTGATCCAGTGTCACTACAGGAGGAAACCTAAACTAAACTAACTTTATTTATACTGGATAGTTCTATCAGTTCTAAACTGTTCTTCCTATAGAGGTCCAGTAAGGATCATCTCTTATTGATCCAGTGTCACTACAGGAGGAAACCTAAACTAAATTAACTTTATTTATACTGGATAGCTCTATCAGTTCTAAACTGTTCTCGCTAGAGGTCCAGTAAGGATCATCTCTTATTGATCCAGTGTCACTACAGGAGGAAACCTAAACTAAATTAACTTCATTTATACTGAATAGCTCTACCAGTTCTGAACTGTTCTCCCTGGACGTTCATTAAGGATCATCTCTTATTGATCCAGTGTTACTAAAGGAGGAAACCTAAACTAAATTAATTTTATTTATACTGGACTAGAGGTCTAGTAAGCATCATCCCTTATTCATCCACTGTTACCACTCCTGATTTTAATGACATACTTGGGTTTCACTTAAATGCATCAAGGTCTTGGGAAAAGGAATGACTTCTGTGGCTTGGATTTTCCAGACTTCATGATTATTGATTCGACCAACAAATTTCCTCTTTGTTATGACAACCAGATACGGGCCTTTTTAGAAAATAAAATCACTTAATTATTTGTCTGATAAAACCCTTTGCATATATTACACCACAAATATTTTCAAAACAATGAAAACACAATCCAACATTCTGATCACTGGATGGCATGGAGAACAGTGAGATTTTCAAAACAATGAAAAGACAATGGAACATTCTGATCACTGGATCATGACTGGATGGCATGGAGAACAGTAGGATTTCAAAACAATGAAAAGATGATGGAACATTCTGATCACTGGATCATGATTGGATGGCATGGAGAACAGTGGGATTTCAAAACAATGAAAAGATTATGGAACATTCCGATCACTGGATCATGACTGGATGGCATGGAGAACAGTGGGATTTTCAAAAACAATGAAAATATTATGGAACATTCTGATCACTGGATCATGACTGGATGGCATGGAGAACAGTGAGATTTTCAAAACAATGAAAAGACAATGGAACATTCTGATCACTGGATCATGACTGGATGGCATGGAGAACAGTAAGATTTTCAAAACAATGAAAAGACAATGGAACATTCTGATCACTGGATCATGACTGGATGGTATGGAGAACAGTGGGATTTTCAAAACAATGAAAAGACAATGGAACATTCTGATCACTGGATCATGACTGGATGGTATGGAGAACAGTGGGATTTTCAAAACAATGAAAAGACAATGGAACATTCTGATCACTGGATCATGACTGGATGACATGGAGAACAGTGGGATTTTCAAAACAATGAAAAGACAATGGAACATTCTGATCACTGGATCATGACTGGATGACATGGAAAACAGTGGGATTTTCAAAACAATGAAAAGACAATGGAACATTCTGATCACTGGATCATGACTGGATGACATGAAGGACAGTGAGATTTTCAAAACAATGAAAAGACAATGGAACATTCTGATCACTGGGTCATGACTGGATGACATGGAGAACAGTGAGATTTTCAAAACAATGAAAAGACAATGGAACATTCTGATCACTGGATCATGACTGGATGGCATGGAGAACAGTGAGATTTTCAAAACAATGAAAAGACAATGGAACATTCTGATCACTGGATCATGACTGGATGGCATAGAGAACAGTGGGATTTTCAAAACAATGAAAAGACAATGGAACATTCTGATCACTGGATCATGACTGGATGGCAT